GGCCTATATGGTTAGTTTAAAATGCTGTGTTAAAAGCTATGAAGCAGAAGCCCAGTATACTCCAAAAGGCCAGAATAGAACAGTCTGAGAGCCAGGAAGGGCTTCCTTGAGGAAGTACTGTTTGAACTATAATCTCAAGACTGAGCTTCAAAGACATGAACAGGAGAAGCAGGGAGGCACCAGCAGGCTGGGAGTGCTCATGGGCGTGGCCCTGGGTGAGAGGTGGTGGCAGAGTGAGGAGGGCTGGGGAGAGGAGGGGAGGGAGGAGTGAGACCTGGATGGGGAGGAGGACAGAGGTAAGTCCATGCGAGGCCATTCACGCCACACAGAGGATTTGGACTTTGGTTCTGGGAGAAGTGGGAACCTACTGAATAGTTTAATTAAAATCAGAGGCCAAGCGCAGTGGTTCACTCCTGTAATCCCACCATTTTGGGAGGCCGAGGTGGGCAGATCACCTGAGGTCAGGAGTTGGAGACCAGCCTGGCCAACATGGTGAAACCCCATCTCAACTAAAAATACAAAATTAGCTGGGCATGCTGGCGCATGCCTGTAATCCCAGATACTGAGGGTGAGACAGGAGAATCGCTTGAGCCCAGGTGGTGGAGGTTGCAGTGAGCCGAGATCACACCACTGCACTCCAGTCTGGGCAACAGAGCGAGATTTTGCCTTAAAAAAAAAATCAACTGCAGTGTGGAAAACAGAGTGGAGAAAGAAAAGGTGGACATAGGGGAGATGGATGAGAAGGTATTCACGTAAGACCAGGGCAGAGACAATGCTAGCTTGATCCCTTTTTTGTAGTGAGGATGGAGAGAAACAGTAAGATTTGAAAGTGATTTAATGAAAAAAGTACAAAGGATTGGGAGGAGAAGGGAGATGAGCTTGACTTCCAGCCACAGGCCTGTCCCCTGGATGAAGGTAGTCCCGTCACCACAGCAGAGGAGAAGGAAGAACCAGTCCAGGGAGGATGGCGCTGAGTCCAGGGATGGCACACAGAGGATGGAGGGCCCCGAAGCATCTCAGTGCATGCTCGAGGTGGACGGCAGACACGTGGATCTGGTGCTTCCAGATCTGGCCACTTCCACCCGCTTGGGAGTTCCCAGTGTACACATGTGAAGCAGGCCCAGGGAGAGAAGAAAGAGTGGGAAAGAAGGGTGACTGGGGGAGCACCAGCATTTCAGAGTTGATAGATTGCTAAGAGCTGACCAAGAAGAGCGAGAAAGCTGAAGGGGAGGTGGCGGAAGCTGGAAAAAATGGAGCCAGGCAGAGGCCGTTCCATGCAGGGGAGGCGGAATCCAGTGGGACGGGGACAGATTTTAACGGCATGGGGGTCCCAGAGTACCTTGGCAACAGCCATTTCGGTGGAAGTCAAGGGAAAAGGCCAGACGGGAGTGGGCAAAGGAGTGTGTGGGAGGAAAGGAAGTGGAGATGGGACATGGAGAGCTCTTTCATTCAGGGACTTGGTTCTAGTGGGGAAGAGCGGTGGGCTCAGCACAGCACGCGGGGAGGTGAAGCAGGGCCGTGAGAGGGATTTGGTAGCAGGGCGTGAGGGGCATGGCCTGCTGAATAAGCACCATGGCTGAGAACACGAGGCATGACAGAGCCAAATTTTTAACTTCAGAGAGCAGCTCACTCTTGGGGCTACTGATCCCCCGACAGGGCTACCTGAGAAGCTCCACTGCAGGGGACGGACCCTGCCCACACACACCACTTGCCCCTGGTCAAGGTGAGAGTTCTCCAAGAGACTAAAGTCACCTGTGAGGGACTACAGTGCCTAAAGAGAACCGACTTCCCCTCCTCCCTTGCAAAGCTGGCAAGGGGGTGCTTCACTCCAGAAAGGTGAGGGAGGGGCCTCAGAGAACTGCTTGTCAAGGAAGGTGGGGGGTGCTGTGGCGTTCTGCAACAGAACTGCTCCTAGCCTGCCCCTATGCCATCAGCCCGGGGCAAAAGAGCCCTGGACAAGATGGCAGGGTGGGGGACTTCCAGAAGGAAAGAGGGCCCAGACTGTGTCTCCACAGTATGTTCTGGTGGCCACCTGCTCCGGAGTCAGGTGATCAGATGGACACAGAGACGTCAGGACTCCAGGCTCTCTCAGTCGTGCTGCACCTAACAGCAAAGAAGTTCATACAAGCAGAGGCAGCCTCCAGCTGAGGGTCCAGGAGGAGGCGAGGCTGCATGGGACAGGGCCTAGGACACTACAGGGGCTTGTGACAGGCGAGTCCCTATCACCTGTGACAAAGCACTGGAGTCACTATCTGGTCCCATCAGGCTCACAGACAGCAAGCCAGGTCCGCATTTATTACCAGGGGTAGCCAGCTCCTGGGCTCTGACCTCTGTCTCTTACTTCCCCTAACCTGGTGTCCCAGCAGGGAGGGGAGGGGAGGGGAGCAGAGGGGACTGTGGCCTCTGGTTCAGAGCTGCTGGACTCAGCATGGAGCCTGCATGTGGAAGGAAGAGCAGAAAGCAGGCTTGGATCAATTGTCGGGACTGAAGATTTTAAACAAATGGCCTTAGAAGCCAGAACGAGGCTGTCTTACTCACCCAGCAAGCCTCCTGGATGTCAAAGGGAAACTTGACATGACTAACAGATCTCCCTACCCTCAGGAAAAGGGGGATTTAACACAGTGGAATGGCTGGCAGTTACCAGGGAAAAACGTATTTCATGTATAAACGCCCTGAAATGAAACTCCTCACTAAAATGGCCACATTAAAAGAAGTCGTTCCAATTTTAACTGGGAGACTGATCATGTTTCAGATCTGTCAAGAGGAAGGGAGTAAGGCCAGTTGGAAGAGGATGAGGTGGGAATTTGAGGACTCCAAGTGTTCCGTGCACATTGGGGAAAGCAGAAGAAAGACGGAACAAAACGCAGAGGATGCCAGGTAGGGTGGACAAGAGATGGGGGATTCGTGGCCAAGCCCTCTACCCACCCATGGGAGTGTCCCAACAGCTCTTAACTCTGGGTACAGGTACGAGGAGAAGGTTAGCTGTGTTCATCCAGGATGGTTCTTTCCTGGACAGGAGAGGGGAGTACAGAGATGAGGGCGTGCAGGGCGTGGGTAGCGAGTAGAGATGTGCTGGGAGCCAGGATCTAAGCCTCGTGGGTGGGGAGGGCAGAAAGCCCTGGGGAACAGGGGGTGCAGGTGAGGATTGTGGTTGAGGGAGTCATTAAACACAGAATCCTGGGAAAGTACAAGCCTGTGTCACTGGAGCTGGGGTCAGCCCCGGTGATTGCTGTCACAGCGGTTGTGGTTGACATGTTCACATTGTGATGAGGGTGGGAATATCCGAGGTGGAGCAGATGAGGGGTCCATGAACCTGACCAGTGGGTTCCAAGTCGATATCAAAGTCACCCTAAAAATGGAGTGACAAGCAGGGCCATGAACGAAGTGCCAAAAGGTTCGATGCACTCAGGGGAGTGACAGGAAAGGAAATGAGAATGCTGGTGGAGCCCCCAAAGAGCAGAGGTTCCCAACAGAAGGGCAGAGAATGAGGGTTGGGGGGTGGGAATGGGTACAAGAAGGATGCCAGCCTTGAGGTGGGAGCGAATGGTGTCCTTAGGAGAGAGCAGATTCGGGTTAAGACCAAGAGGCTGGGAGGATGCTCTAAAGGAGTTTGGGGACTTAGAAGACCTGCTCATCAAACAGAGAGGCAGCACCAGAGTGAATGATGGAAGGATTTGGCTGGAAGGGGGAAGAGGGGTTTTCGGTCAGAGTCATAGCAAGGAAGAAGAACATCCTAGAAGCGGTGGGGCAGAAGGGAAGCCTTTAAGAACAGCGTAAGTGGGCCGAGCATGGTGGCTCACACCTGGAATCTCGGCACTCTGGGAAGCTGAGATTGAAGGATTGTTTAAGCTCAGGAGTTCGAGACCAGTCCAGGCAAGGCAGGAAGACCTCTTCTGTATGAGAGGGCGTGGTGGCGCATGCCTGTGGTTCCAGCTACTCAGGAGGCTAAGGAGGGAGGATCGCTTGAGCCCAGGGCTTTAACGCTGCAGTGAGAAAATGGTTGTGCCACGGCATTCCAACCTGGGCAGCAAAAAGGGACACTGTTTCAGGAAAAAAGGAAAAGAAAAAAAAAACCCAACAGCAATGAAACAAAAGGCACTCATGGTGCTTCCTTATTCCATCTGCAGGCAGGGAACAGCAGTACCTGAAACTGACCAGCAGAGTGACTAGAATCTAGACAGGGGTGGCCGGGCTTACCTGCCACGTAGAGCAGCTGGTACTTGATGGAGATCTGAGATCTGCCCCCGGCCTCCGCCCTGCAGTAAACCACGCCCTGGTGCTCGGAATGAGGTTGCAGATACACAAAGCCCCGCTTCATGTCATAAACAATGTCCGTTCCATTGGCTGGGATCTCCTTGGCTGGGAATTCCCTGTGGAGCGTGACTTTGGCCGACAGCACAGTCACCCGACAAGGAACCACAGCCTGTCTGTCCGGGTTCAAGTAGACAACATCGAAGTAGCTGGGAGACGGCACAAAGAGTTCTCCTTTCTCTGCAAAGGGAAGACACAGGCTTATTCACTCCGGAGAAGCAAAGTAAAAGCATCCTTAAGGATTCTGGCAACATCCTCCAAATACTGAATCCTTAGGAGTAGCAAAAGCTGGGGTTTCTTTTTTTATTTTAATGCTTTTCATTTTTTAGAAGAATGATTTTCCTTCCCGTCTCCTTAAAGAAAACAGAAAAGGTATCAGTTCAAGCCCAAATGAGGCCCACGGATCACAGCCATGAAGCAGCAAGGAACAAGATTTAAGTTAAGATTTAATAAATAAACCTTTAACATGTTAAGGTTTAACAAGCCCAGCCTTACTTCTTATACTTTAATACATACTTTGAAGTAAGTGACGACACTACTTGCTTTAAAAATATATTTGCAATCTGGCCAGGCGTGGTGGCTCATGCCTGTAATCCTAGCACTTTGGGAGGCTGAGGCGGGTGGATCGCCTGAGCTCAGGAGTTCGAGACCAGCCTGGGCAACGTGGTGAAACCCCATCTCTACTAGAAATACAAAAAAAAAAAAAATTAGCTGAGTGTGGTGGCATGCGCCTGTAGTCCCAGCTACATGGGAGGCTGAGGCATGAGAATTGCCTGAACCCAGGAGGTGGCAGAGGTTGCAGTTAGCCGAGATCATGCTACTGTACTCCAGCCTGGGCAACAAAGTAAGATTGTGTCTCAAAAAAAAAAAAAAAAAAAAAAAATTGCAATCAGTAGCTTTCATCAAGAAAAAAATGTGTTAAAGTTCATTTTAATAATTATAGATTACATATGTCCCCTGCAAATGTATTTATATCCACTCATGTAGATGACACACATATTTCTTAAAGAAGACTAAGCACATTGGATTTTAGATTTCCAGAAAAAATCAAGTTAATAAGCTGTAAACTACATCCAAATTATAGCAAACTCAGTATTTAGGAAAGCACTTATTAATGTGATTTTATGATTGTAAGTTTTAAACCCTTAGCAATTGTAAAACCTTGAAGCCATCTGCTGCTTGTGTGTGGAGAAATCAACCCCACAGCCATGGTCAGTAACTGCCAGCCAGGAAGCATTTCCCAGCACATCAGAGCTCCCCACACAGCCCAGAGGACCTGGTGCCTGCCAAAGTTAGTGGAGGGGAATGTTGTCGCTTGAAGGAGGAACCCATCAGTCTCAGGTCTGCTCTCGGCTTGGCCAGCACCTGGCTGGGAATCTTCAGCCAGTCTCTTACATCCCCTCATTTCCTCTGAAATTACTCTGCCTGGTTCTTTAAGCTCAGATGATGGCATTTTTATCTTACCGAAATGGGAGAAATGAGGACTGACTCTGTCCTTAGGACAGGCAAGAAACTCTGGACTGGGCTTTTGGGGGTAATTTTTGTTGGTGCTGGTGGCTTTTCTTTTTTGGAATGGTATATTAAATCCTTTGTTTTTCTGGATCATTCTGTGAGGGAATATTATAGTAATTGCAAAGGGAAATATTTGGAGCTAGTGATACCCTAATACGTATTACATCCTTTCTTGTGTTTTCCCCACAATGTTCCTGAAATAAATAATTTTTCTTGCCTTTCTCCGCAGCTTGCCTTCTTTGTGTCAGAGTTAGATGGTGTTTTAGGTTGGGGGCAGAATTCCTGGACACATCACCGAATGGTTCATGAGCCAAGAGTTCTTGGGCTATAAGTACCAAGTTCACTAACATGGAGATCCTTCCTCTTGGCTCTAAGACGAGGGAAGAGCATACCATGGCTCAGAGAGTCTCCGTGTTTTACATGGGTTTCCATCAGGCTGGGAGATCCGTTCTACTTTATGAGAAATTGGCTTTCAGGCTTAGGTAAGGAGCACCTCTGTCAAAGTTGTGCCCAACGTTCATGTGTTCACACAGTCCATCTAGATGGCCTTGGAGGCATTACTTAATTTCCTCATGCTTCAGTGTCCACATTTGTCAAGAGAAGAATCTGGAGTGGATAATATTAAAGATGTTTTCTTAGCCGTAACACTTTAGGATTGCATGATTGCAAGATTTAGAGGCAACTTTTGTTTTAAGAGTGTGTAGAATAATCTGAATCAATAAGCAAAGTCGTTAGTTGAATAAGTGAACCATGTGAATTTAAGAACATAAAAATATCATCCTTTTTTTTTTTTTTTTTTTTTTTGAGACAGGGTCTCACTCTGTTGCCCAGGCTGGAGTGCAGTGGCACGATCATGACTTACTGCAGTTTCAACATCCAGGGCTCAAGTGATCCTCCCACCTCAGCCTCTTGAGTAGCTGGGACTACAGGCACGTGCCACCAAGCCTAATTTTTTATTGTTTGGTTTTTGTAGAGTCAGGGTCTCACTATGTTGCCCAGGCTGGTCTCAAATTGCTGGACTCAAGCAATCCTCCTGCCTTGGCCTCCCAAAGTGCTGAGATTACAGGGGTGAGCCAATGTGCCCAGCCTTACTTCTTATACTATAACACATACTTTGAAGTAAGTGAGCACACCAGTTACTTTAAAAAATATATTTGCAATTTGTAGCTTCCATCAACAACCAAAAATGTTGAAGTTAATTTTAATAATTGTAGATTACATGTCCCCTGCAAATGTATTTATGTTCACTAATCTAGATGACAAATGTATTACTTAAAGAAAACTAAGCACATGGGACTTTACATT